TCATCCCCCAGTACCCCCAAGTCCAGAAGCCCGACGCGGAGATGGACAGTGCCCCAGCTCAGCCCCTGCCGTTAGAAGCAGTGATATTTAGACTTCTTTCCCCATTTTTTCAGTCAGGATTCACTGCTGGGATAGGACTACAGCCTGCAGCTGCGCTTTAGGATACTAGGGGCTGCATGAAGGGACCCGGAGCCTGGAGACGGGCCACTTTCTGCAGTGGTGGGAGGATACCAGGAGGTCCCAAGGCACGTTTCACCCCAACACAACACTAACTGGACTCTGAGCAGGGAAGGCTGTGGTCCACGTGATGGGAAGAACCAGCGAAAGACTATAAAACAGATCAAATCCTGCCCAGTGCTGGCAGAGGGAAGGCTTTCCTCCAAATCATCAACTTCCAAGGGCTCTGAACAGAATAGGTTTTGCACAGTCGCTTCCACATACCTGGAAAGCGCTGCTCTTGCTACCTTTAAGGCTTGATCCCAGATCTGTTCCACACAGGAGTCTCTCACTCTGCACCCTGGCTTTAGGCTGCCTGTGCCCGCTCCAGCCTGCGCTCCCTGGCTCCCACGTAAGGCCTCATCTCCAGCTCCTCCAAAGGGCTCTCCTTGGCCAGGGAATGGAGATGACCAGGCTCTTCTGGCTGTGTTTAAGCAGACGTGCATTCCTAGTAAGCCTGCCCCCCCAGGCTGCCATGACCTGCCATGGTCAGGACACCACAGCTGAAGGACTAGATGTCACTCCTGTACAGGGGACAGCGGTTTTAGCAGCCCACTCACAGGCCAATGCAACCAGTATAGCAGGGAGGGGTGAGGGGAATGTGGGTCTTCCCAACAACACACTAAATGAGGGAGAGGCAGGGAAGGCCAGGCTGTCCTTAGTATCCCCCCTCCGCCTGTTTGTGCGGCAGTGAGGCCGTTTCTTCACCCCGCTCACGGCCACAGGGTAGGAAAGGGGGAAGCCAGCAAGAAGAGCCCATGTGGCACCACGGTAGATGGACAAGAGACAGAACCTAGAACCACCTTCACTCTGCAGGTAAACCGAAGCCTACCTCAGCGCCACACAGACACCTTCTCTCCATACCACTGCACCCAGGCTCCGAGAGGCATTTTGGGCTTGCACGTTAATCAAAACCATCTGAACTCAGCTCATTTCTAGCTCTATCTAAATTTCCTCACCCAGCAAGCGTCCAAGAGCACCGCATGCCCCTGGCCCCACGCGGTGCCCGTCCTGCCAGCAAGCGCAGCTGCGGCGTTGGCTGCCATTCCCTGCGGCCTGCAAGGAGCCCACCTGCCTGATACGGATGTGCCTCCCAGCAGCACCAGCGATTCGCACATGCAGGAGAGGACCTGGGCAGGCAGGCTGCACCCCTCCTAATTAGCTGGAGGAAGAGGAACACTTGAACTTGCTCCAAAAGGAAGCACAAGCTCCAGTTTCCCCACACTCATTTACTTGCAGAGCTTGCCCAAACCTGCGAGTAGGTGTCAGCTTGCTGACAGGCAGTTTAGAGGAAGCAGAGTTAGGCCAGTGCAAGTCAGCTGGGGGTATTGACCCTTCTGGCAGTTTGGATGTAGAGCTTGGGCTCGGCTAAACATGTCTGTCTTCCCCTCTCTATCTAGAAGAACTGGCCCTTGCCAGCCATTACTTTTTTCATCATGACTCATTCCCACTGCAAGTTCCTTGTAACCTTCAATGCTGTCTGTCTGTGCAGGCCCTGAAAAATGCACCGGGGAGAACGCCATCCGAGCACCTAAACCCCTTCCATACAGGCAATTCCTAGGGAAGAAACAGACATACTATGAAACACCCCACTTTCGGTTTTAACCACACAAAGAATTTACCAAAACACCCTTTATTTTTCTAGAACGTCATACGTTGCAATAGTCCAGTTTAGCTCAGGGCAAAGCTTAAGGCCAATAAATACAAAGAGGAAGAATCTCTCCAGAGCGAACACCTGCCCCTCAGGGGATGATGGCATTGAGATACACTGGCTGCGTCAGTGGCACGCACCAGCGAGCTCTGGTGTGCAGCACGGACAGCATACAGGCAAAAGCCAAACCAAGAGCCAGCTTCCTAAGCAAGCAGCCTGACCGGGAGCCATCGCTACAGCGGCGGTGCATCACAGCAGCGAGCTTTAAGTGCTTTGTAGCGAGTTACCAGGAAGGAGTAAGCGTTTGCAAAATGCGCAGTGACCCAATCACATCCAAGACTCTCGGGAATAGGGGTTTGATGTTAAAAGTTTCTCTGTGCTCATAACGTAGGGCAAGGCCTGCTCAGCAACGAACGCACACCAGTGCCACAAACCATTGACAGCTGCAGGTGCAAAGGAGGAAATGCTAGAGGCGTGATAGTGCTTCCATGTTTATTTTCCCCAAAGAGACATAAAAAGAGTTAAAACAGGTCTAAAAACCACAAAGCTTTATATAACAGCTCACAATACATAAATACTGACTGTGCTTCCTGCTTCGACAAACCAGCAGGGAGGTCTCTTATCCAGGCCTTTATGTCAGTAGGTGCATAAAGCTGTTTCATTTGCTTCAGGTACAGAACGAGTGACAGGAGAAGTGTATGGAAGAGTCATTCCAGTTTGGTTCAAGGCCAGGAAATTCTCCTGAGAGGGATGCTGTGCTGCTGACTGGATGCCATGTTCAACAGATACTGCTCACATCGCGTACAGATGTCCGCAGTCAGCCAGTCTGCCATGCTCCCTGTGTAACAGCACAGAGGCTGTGCTAGGCAATGGGGTTCCAAAATAACAGGTACACTGGAGTGCCAGAGGGAAAAAGAAATGCAGAAAAGCTGACCCAGGTTTCTGTCAGAGGGCACGGTGTTCTTCTACCCATCCCTCATGCAAACACTGCTAAGTGGTTTAGCTAAATGCACGAGTTCAGAGCAGTCAGCTCCACTCCAGGAGGCCGAACAGCTTCATTTACTGACAGCCTGTCAGCCAAAGGGCTAACGGCTATTGGCGCCTGATCCAAGGTTATGGCTGCAGCCTTACACCCCAAGATTGTTTTTGTTGTTGCCATCCTGAAGCATGGCAGTAATGCAGTCGCTCAGACCTGTTCTAAGACAGGCCAAACCGCAGCCCCACACAGTTAACTTCAGCAGTGAATGCTACCCCGGATTTTTGGCAACTTTGAACCAGAAGCTGCTGTGACTTTATTTTGGCTACATTAAAGAACATTTTCAAGGAGAAAAAGATACCTGTTTCCTCAGTAGAAAGAGGAGAACAGATAACGTATGTTTCCAGTCCTAGACATTGCAGTTATACCCACAAGGTCTGGCCTTTCCACCCAGAACTATCAAAAGCTCTTTCTGAAACAGCTCCCTTTCTGGGGACAGAAAGGGAGGGGTATGTGTGCAGAGGGACTGAGAAGCCACTTGTGGCATTAGTCTTCAGCCAGTTATACCCAAGACTATCAGCGTATTTTATTTCTAGGTATAAAGGGGCTACTCCTGGGTTGTAGTGACAGATCCCCAGCTGGGGGAGGGGTAGAATATGACAGGGTCTGGAAATTCTCACATAAACGAAGCTGTCACAAGCTTCTATGCCTGAGCTACCACAGACACTTCTGAATCTATGTCCGAAACCTGGTAGCTAAAAAGCAAAATGGATTTCAGAGCACCTCCACATCCTCCCTTTTGGTCATCCAAAACCCACAATACTTCCAGACAACTACAGTTAGAGCAGTGGCAAAGCCAGTCACTCAGCATGACATTCAGCTGACCAGCATAGTACCACACACTGCTGTCTGCATGTTTGTAGACTTGCACATACAAGTAACGGGTAACATCTGTCAAGGCAGAACCAGAACACCCCGGTCCCAGCTTACCCAAAACGCTCCCCGTGCTCTATTTCATGCAGCAGCTCCAAGTTCTTCTGCTCTTGAGTAGCTGGGTCCTCCTCTCTGGAGAGTCTCAGAAGTTTTAGGAGGTGAAGTGGGATATGTACACATGTTCTGAAGGGCATGGACATCTAGAATCACAATGCAAATCACCTGAGTTCTCAGGGAAACACATCCTCCATCTTAGCAGGAAAATTTCCATGGCATGCAATTGATCTGTTGGTGCACTTCGAAGGTAGACATTAACACAGTGTACTTCCAGACCCTTGTATAAATAGAGCACAGGGTAATCCCAACCACTTTACACAGGATGAAAGAAAGAGGAACCAGAGGCTTTTTGAGCTGAGTAAGACAAGAGAAGTCTGTGGCAGATTGGCTGCTTTCGCCCCTTGTAATATTCCCTCTTCCGTTTTCTTCGAAACAAGCTAGAGGGTAGGTTTGAGGTACCAGTGGGATGAAGGAAAGCTTCCTATGACTAGTTGAGGTGCAGGGAAACCAGAAAATGTTAAACCCCATGTGCTGATGACACTAGGCAAGACCAACCTTACCTTGATGCAGCAGTCACAGCAGACAACACTGAGAGGAAAAAAGTTCCCAGCATGACTATTTGAGTAAAGCTCAGCAGATACCAATTCTGCAGCTAAGGGTGACTTGCACAAGTAAGTCTTAATTTGTGATTGCGGCATAATCGCTTGATGGCAAAGTAAGCAAGCTTAGAACCCCCCTATCCAGTTTGCCAGCCCCCCCCACCCCCATTTATCCTCGTTTAAACCACCTGAAATGTGTCAGGATCCATAGCTTGAAGGCTTTACCTGCAAATGCCCACTACTTTTCACTCAGCACTACCACTAGACAGTTAGTCAGTTCCCAGAGGTTGTTTACTTGTTGCCTGTAATCAATCCAGTGCTTCACCACTGCTTCAAACAGATTTAAGTGAGCCTCAGTGAGCCTGAAGCTTCTTTTTTCCTCTCCCATGAACAGAAAACCTCTGACACAGAAGTGGATACAAGCAGGTCCAACCCCTTTCCCAGACACAGGGTGTGGAGTTCACTTTTTCAGCCCTCAGCAGAAGATTCTGGTGAAGAGCCTCTGCCAGAAGCTGCTCAAGCCCTCGACTGAAGTTAAATCCAACCTTTAGAGCCAAATGCAGAGAGTGATCTCAGAGAAATTGAATCTAATTCTTGCACAGTAAATTTGGTTATTGCTAGCTTAACACGAAGAGTTAAAACTGAGATACCACTTCAGAGGCAACTTTTTCCACATCCTCTGCAGCTGTAGATGCTTCAGCCTGGCTTGTGCACCAAGGGAAAACTGAAGGGCTCTTTCTATCCAGTACTAGAACTGTTTGAATACAGAGTATTTTCAGCACTGTTCTTTCACTCTTTTCTCCCTCCTCATTCGGTCCTTTTGGACCAGCTCACCTGCTGCAGAGGTAACAGCTGTAAGGCCACTTCAGAAACATCTGCTTATGGCAGCTGAAACAGATCTGTGGAAAGGAAAGTTACTTGTGAATGCAACAAGGAAATATCTTTCTGCCAACAGTGCCCACTGCCCGCCAAAGAGTGAGCGCACAAACCAACCTTCTAAAGGCTTTAGAGCCACATACAATTACAGAGGTCCAATAAAGGACAGCAAAGACAGAAGAATTAAAAGCTAAAAAGGCATAAAAAAGAAGTCTTGTAGGCCAGTGTTTTTATGATGCAGAGGTTTGGGGCAGCTGCCAGACAACAGGAGTTTAAAAAAAGGCTCTTGAGCAAACAATAGCTGTATTGTGCAAGAGTGTAACAGTAGCTAGTTAAGAGAGGGAGGAAGAGAGACATTCTTTGAGGTAGACTGCAGCAATCCCAAAGAGATTAAGTCAGGGCAAATCTGAATCCAATCCTGAAGCAAAAAATGAGTCATAAGGAAGCTGATGAGTCGCTTGAACTTTATAAAAAAAAACACATTCATACACAGCTGGCAGTCAGAAGTGATATTATCTTGAGAAGCAGAGCTTGAGAAAGCTAAAAAAACTTCAGCAGCAAGAACACAAAGAGGGCAAGAGAGCCATTTTAGAGCAGGCAAGGTAAAGCAGGGTTGGTAAGGAAGGCGAGAAGAAGGCAAGTCTTGGGTCTCGGGAGCACCAGACAGGCCATGGAAGCGGCACAGCCCTGCCTATACTGCTAAAGAGGCAAGGGCAAGTAGCTGACCCCTAAGCCAAGTAGCACAGACTTCCTCACATCTGTGTTGCAAAGGGCTTGTACTCACAGCTTCTGCTCTAGAGGGGCTGGTTGCAACATCCCCCCTAAAGCAGCCTCCGTGAAAAAGCCAGCAGTTAAGCGGAGCAGCCAACAGCCCTGTGCCGCAGGTCATTCCCTGTCCCTCCTCCCCATCACCCCAACCTTTGTGTCCACCGAGCAAGGTGCTTTGAGTCAGCACAACTCCGGTGCGGGAGCCTGAGTTCAGAGCCTTTGTTTCACTGTTTAGCAGTACTAAATCCCAGTAAATTGTATTGTGGTTTCAGGGCTGGCCAACAGACATGGCAGCCAGCTCTTCTAGCATGGAAATAAGAAGTATCAAGACAAGGCTGGGTTACTTCCTAGGCAACTTACACCACTTGATTAGAAGCCATCACCACACAAGTGTTAAAGAGATTTTTACAGCCTAGGGCCAGACTCAGATCAGCTGTATGAACAGGCTAAGCTGAGGCAGAGAGCACCCCAGCAGTTCAGCACGGAAGGCCACAAAGCCAGCCAGCTTTTGAAAAGGCAAGGACAGCACAAAGAGAAGGAGAGGAAGCATACCTTTGCTCTTGGAAAAACACCATCACTACATCCTTGGAAGCAGCCTTGCCCTTCCAGCACCATCATTGCATATCTGGTTCCAATCAGCTCAGCAATGGTTGGCAATGGCCACTTGGTAGGAAAGGGACAGTCCTATTGAAAGACAGAAGTTAGTCATCAGAGAAAGCTGAAGGATGTAGATCTTTGGGGAGGCCATCCTCAAAACCGGGTCCCAACAGGCTCAGGAGCATTTATTCCCAAAACCCATTTTTTCCAGTGATGGGGAATATCAGTTGACTTTGACAAGGAACTACTACAGAGGTTTTAGTGGTCGCTACAGGTTTAAAGCAGCTTCCTAACACCTCATTAGGGAAGCAGGTCCCTCTGTCACCACAGCAGTTAATACCATCTCCAGAGCCAGTCTCTGGGGAATTCTACCCTTGGGTAGAGACCACAGCACAAATGGCACCCCAACCCCTCTTAGGTACAGGATCCCTTCCCACAGCACCACACACTCTTGCCTTCTCTTTCCCAAGGCCCGCTGGCCCCACACAAATGGCCGCTACGGCCTGGTGGTCAACCAGGCGAAACCACAGTGCTTTCATCCCCAGGTGGGAAGCCCAACTCACCTGCTTCCCCCACACACACACTGCTGAACAAAGAGGTCACACAGAGTTACGGTCAGTAACAATCTTCACCTTGAAATCTCAGCAGTGAGACCTTCTAGGAGGTCTGTTCAACTGAGTGCAATAGGTTTTACTAACTGACACCCAGGACTTACAAGTTCCTTGCTTTGAAGGTCTCTTTCGAAAGACTTGGACCTTCCTCTGGAAGGAGGCAGCTGCTGTTGGCCAGCATTCAGGAAACCCTTAGGTTTAATGTCTCCTAGGGCGGATGCACTCATGGGAGGACATGGGTAATTTGCAGCAAGCCCTGGATAGGAAGAGTTTTAAGGTGAAGAAAACCAACTGACATCTTCTAAGTATTCACCCCAAAAGCTGAACATTCAAGAGCATTACCCTGCCTTCTGAAGGTACTAAGGCTTACCTCTTTCCCACTCAACCCCCATCCGCTCAGATCTCAAAAGGCATAGGTTACAGTAATTATGCTTGTCAGTAGGAAGTGACGAGGCTTCGTTAGCACTACTTAGTTCAATAAAATCAAGTGGTGCACTTTCTACTTTAACATTCAAAGCACTCATACAGCTTTTACTGTGAATTCCAGTGAGGCCTTTAGGGACATGCTAGTATTGTTTTGAAGCTGCAGGAGCTACACAAGCTTCAGTCAACTGCAGAGGAATGGTTTCCTAAGGGCACCTCCCCAGACTCATTACTCAGTGTTGGAGTCCCTCCTGTAAAGTGCCTTCAGGTGATCAAAGTGTTCAGTGAGCCCATCCTAAGGCTTTGGGCACCCAGCAGGCCACTGACTGTACTGTGTCACCCCGTTTAGATGCGCAGCTAGGGACACACTGACCTGTGCTGTTGCAGGGTACTACTGATGACCTGGTTGAGGTGAGCCAGATGCTGGAAGGCAGCTTGGGAGGGGTTTCCTGTAGACCAGAGGACAGAATGTTCTTTAGCTGCATACAGGAGACACCAGCTCACTTCCTCAGAAGTACTGCTGCTAAACAAAAACCAGGATACCCAGGGCTGACCAGAAATGTTCAAGGCTCACCCAAAAGTGGAACGGTGAGAGAAGTCAGTGCAGTACATTTAGCAATTTTATATTCCAAGAGGTAATAGCAAGCTAATTCCCCCCACAGCCAAGCTAGTGAAATTTCCAATTCATCTGTTCTCTCTCTCACCCAAGTTCAATGCAGGTAGTGCTCCGAAAGTTTTGTCTGTTCAGGAAACAACTTCACCACATCCTCCCTACACAACTGTCAGAGTATATTGGAAGCATTTTCTTGGCTCCAGCTCACAAGGGGCAACACTAAAGAACAGTTCAAGAGACTGTCCCACTAACCCAGCTCAAACACAATGCTGTACCTCAGTAGCATCGTTTCTGCCTTCTCTAGGAAAGCAGAAAACAAATCCGATTCTATTAGTCTCCATATGAAGGTCCTAGTTTAGCAGTAATACATCAACCACAGGACTGTCAAATGCTGAGCATTCCTACAAGTAACACAGACTTGTGCAAATATAGCTGAGACTTTCTGATTTTATGAATTCATATCCTTTTTCCTCAATTAAGCAACTGCCTTTCAGACAGAAATGTTTACAGAAAACAGATTCCTGTTTGTATGCCAGTGCATCTGTGCTAGACACGATATGTTAGGGCTTAAGTTCTGTTCCACAGAATTTCTGAATATGCTGAGACTGAATCCCAGAACCAAGCAGTCAAGCTTTTCATGAACAGGCCAGGAGTTAAAGAACCCAAAGACTAAGGTATTGTGGTTTATTGAAAAACAGTGCTCCCGAAATTGCTCCACAGACACAAGAGTGGAAATCTACCAGTGAAGTTCCTTCTTGAAAATAAGTTATTGTTTTCCTTCCACAAGCTCACATATCACGTGAAATGCAAATATATCAACACATCTAGCATCCAACACCTCACTGTGAGGTAAGAGCGGGAATAGTTCCAGCCCATATTAAAATTTCTGCAGGATCTAATTTTAAGAGACCAGAGCACACCTTGGTTCTGTAGGCTGCAGTCATGCCACAACAACAAGTGTCTAAATGTGGTATGAACTTCTGTAGTGGAAAGTATTTCTGTGAAACTAAGGGTACCATACTGGTTCAATTTTGAGAGACAAGGTTGCCCACTCTAGGTTTTGAGCCTGACATTCCAGACCGTGTGCATGTGCAGATCTAATGTCAGAAGTACTTGTTCCTCTCCAGAGCCCTTTCATTTAAAGCCTTACCTGAACTCCTGGTCCCAGCTGCTGTGCTGTAGTGCTGACAATTCTAAATTTGGTGCTGGCACCTTGAAGAGTTAAGAAACTATCGCTTGGAGATTGCAAGGATGTATTTGGTGTCGCGAGCATTTCTGCAAGGGGGGACCACACAAAAAAACCCCATACACACAAAGATATTGTGGTGTGACAAGAAAATGACAAATTTGATACCCACACATCACAATTTGAGATTTGACTAGATTGTGTCCTGGTAGTTACATAATCTTTTTGGTTTAGGTGATGGTTGAGATCCTGTTCTCTCACTCAGTGGACACAAAAAATTGAACATCCATTAAGAAAAGAGGTAAATTGAAATATCTTTCGAGTCCTAATAAGCCACAAAGAGGTTTTCTGGAAAGAACAATTCATATGCCATACCACCTCTATCATACAAAATTTGTGTTCCCACCTCCCTCGCATTATACATGCTATGGAAAAGATAAGCAGGCTTTCATTCCAAAGGCCATCCACTATCTTCAGTCAACGCTGACTTCACTCACCCACTTGACATGTCACTTTGCAGCAGGTACCTTTGGGCCTGCTCCCATTTTCTCTTGCTGCTGCTGACCAAAGCCTCTGTGGTTGTTTTCTTTCTGCCATGAGCTGTTCATGCCAGCTGGACTCCTCCGGCACACGCTCTTTCAGATTCCTCTCCAGCACCTGCAAGCAAATCGTAGCACCAGAAAGAGCCAATGGATAGAGCAAGGAGACCGGTGGTGACAGAACTACTGCTATCAGCAATGACACTGGTTTGTAAGTGCTTCTCACTCAAGAGGGCACTGGGCCCTGCACACAAGACAACCTCTGGATAATGCATAGTAGAATATTTTAGCAACATTCAGATTTGAAAGAGAGACCTCCAGGAGTACTTTCAGGACAACAAAATGTTCAAATGGAAGAAGCAGCAGAGGAAATAGGGAGATTGATCATCTTTCTCCTTTGAAGATGTCACCTCCTATTTTCCTAACCCCACGTTTGGCAGGAGGGTCTGCCCAAAAGTTAAGTATGGTTAATGTATCACCCTCACAAATCCAAACCAGTAGCTAAGACATTAGCTCTGTAGTCCTAGAAACAGTCCTGTCAACCCCAGAATCACCTTGCTTTGCTATCATTAGATGCAGCACCCTCTAATCCATGCTTTTGAGAGAAAAGATTTGAACCTGACTTTCCAAGCTACGCATGTGTGTGAATCTAATGCCTGAAGTGCTTACGCCTCTCCAGAACCCTTTCGTTTAAAGCCTTACCTGAACTCCTATAGGCTTTAGCTGAGGCTTGGGAGCAGCTACATCAGCTTTGGGCATCCTGTGTTTTTGCTGGGTGATCACCTAAAAGAGCAGAAATGCTGCTTAGCTGTAGTCTTTTCTCTGCTCCTGGTACACCCTCCCATTCCGTGGCACAGCGAATGACTCAAGTCGGGATCTGGGAAAAGGGGGAGGTGGGGGAAGCATAACAAAAGTGAGTCACAAAGAGTAAAATGATGATTTACTCAAGTGGGTTTTTAGTAGAGACAGATTTGCCTGTGGCAAACTAGAGGCAATCAGAAATGCCGCACAGCCCTTTGAGGCTTGCACAAGAAACATACAGCCTTCTAGCCTCAGCAGCTCATGAACTGCTCTGAGAAGCCACTGGAAAACATAGTACTCTGATTTTAATGTCCAGAGCAATCCTGAGAAGCACCTCGGTCACATCACATTCATCAGTGAGAACTTGGCTCCAGGGAGAACGACTGAATGGGTTCACAAGACTGTCACAAGAACTGTAGCAGCAGGCAGCTGTATGCATAAGCTAGAGAATCAGAGCCTGGCCTACAAACCACATAAACCAAGAACAATAGCAAGGTAGAACTGCAGGGCAGGTATTCAGGTGAGGCAGACCATCCCCCTCATCAAGCCCTGTGCTTGCTGCATAGGGGAGAGCTGACAAAAAGAAGTCCAGTTGCACATGCATGTCTTCAGCTGCCTTGTTCACTGATTTTTACTTTGAGGCTGTGCCATTTCCCTACCCTGTGTGTACAACTTCAGAACACGTGGGAGTGCAGGTAGAACACCAGAGCTTCTCACACTAGCTGTGTTTTCATTCATTTGCAAATTAGACCACTGTTTGCTGGAGACGGATTAAAATAGCTGTGCAGATGGGGAAAGACTCCTTTTAAGAGCCTTCACAAAGACCTGAGAAGCAGCACTCCATGCTTTCTTCCAGCATTTCTGACTACTGCTCTTCAAACATGTTTGAGCTTCTCGTCTACTAGAGAAAAAAATAGGAAAAAAGAAAAAAAAAAAGAATGGCGGAGTCAAGACCCAGTTCAGCCTGCCACCTTGAGTTACAGTCCTGTACTGCACAGCGCCTTGATACCCAGTACACTGCGAGGGACACAAGCAGTTATGATGTATTGTCACCTTTCCACTATTCATTTATCAATCAAGATATTATCTCCAGAGAAATGTCACAGCCTTATCTGAAGGCTGGAGACACGGCCAAGACAAGTAAGAGCTGAGGTTTTATAGAGGTGCACGGTTTAGCTGAGGTTTTTAAACCCCTTGCACTCCAGCAGCAGCAACAACAAGGAGAAAAAAAGCTGATGTCTAGTGTGGTATGCAAAGTTTTCACTTTTAAAAATATCGCTCTTTATTACAAGTGGATTTACATCTCATCTTCTGCCAAGACGTCTGTTTGCAAAGCATGCCAATGCCGCAAAGCCTTATGCCAAGGTTTTAGATGTGCTCATCGTTCCCAGCTCAAGCTGCAGCGAGCTAACAGCATCGCAAGCCTTCAGAGACACCCCAGACATTTTCGTATCTGGTCATCTTCACCAGCCATCCACGCTGTTGGAAGCCCCTGCCACTTGCGTGAGCAGAGCAGCTGTCCCTGGAAGGGGCTCAGCTTTTTTTACCTTGCTAAACTCCTGCAGTAGCTCGTGTACAATGCCTGAAGGCCTCTGCCTGAGGCTGAGCAAAGGGCTTGCTCAGAAGTGCTTTTGCACTCGCACACATCTGGGAAGGCGAGGAAACTAGTAAGAGATGCCAGGCACGGGTCAGCTCACGGAGCCTGGGAAGACACAAGTGTCCAGGGTGGAAAGCATAAGCAGACAAGGGTCTGTTTCATTAAACTGTTTTGTGAAAGGCAGCGCACTTTCTCCAGGGAAGAGAGTGGCCTCCATCCTGACCCCTGGATGGAGAGAAGGTTTAGCATCCAGCTTCATGGGAGCGTGGTTACCTCCACTTAAAAAGTTGCAGGAAACTAAGCACTTGGGTGGACAAACAGGGTGATCTAATGTTGAGCTGCAGCTGAGAGGCAGACCCAGACACTTCTGGACTTGGAAGTACCTTTAAGAAAGTCAGGCTGTCAGAGAAGAGGTCTCAACAAACAGCGCTTAGAAACGAGGAA